CTCCCTCTCGCAGGTGGGGTCCCCAACCTATCCCCACCAAGGACAGGCCAGAGAGGGCCGCCCCAGCCCCAGCACTACTTTCTCCTACCCTTATCCTTTGGTCCCTCCTCTCTACCCTTCCGTTTTCGAAATATGCAAGGAATTGGGTATTCATTTGTTCCTGTCTCTGAGATCTGTGAAATGTTTGTTTAATGAATGAATAGAAGCAGATCTGTGTCCTAGAAAGTAATGTTCTGGGAGATTAACTAGTGGAATTACTCTTACTTGCTTTATCACAAGGTACAACCCAGGCGCACGGTACATTTGTTTCCCTCTTGGTAGCTGGTAACAGCTATCCCAGCTTTTCTTCCCCAATCCCTAGATCAGAGGCATCAGCCTGCCCCCTTGGAAATGTCAGAAAGCCTCACTTTAGTTCACCTGTCAAGAGCTTCACCGTGTATTTTGGGTGTGCGATACTGTGGGGAGTGGGGGGAATCTTCAGCCACCAAGAAGTGACAAGTTACAGTAATTCCATTCTTGGTGCTTTTGGGAACCTTCTGTTAACTGGAGAAACTAGCACCCAGTGAAGTGTCATCATGTTTGAATATATAATTGGCTATGTAAATATAAAGATAAAAAAATAAAGTAGATGTATTATCCTTACTCTTCTGGGGAGACAATATAGAATAGTGATTAGAAATATAAAGTCTGGGGGCGCCTGGGTGGCTTAGTCGGTTAAGCGTCCGACTTTCGCTTAGGTCATGATCTCGCGGTTCGTGGGTTCGAGCCCCGCATCGGGCTCTGTGCTGACTGCCAGCTCAGAGCCTGGAGCCTGTTTCAGAGTCTGTCTTCCTCTCTCTCTGACCCTCCCCTGCTCATGCTGTCTCTCTCTCTCTCCTAGAAATAAATTTTTAAAAAAAAATTTTTTTTTAAAGAAAAAAAAAAGAAATATACAGTCTGTAAAGACCTGATTTTAAATCTTTGTGAGGTTATTTACTAGTTATGTAATGTTGGAAAATTTTTAAGTTTCAGGTTACTCCTCTGAGAACGACAATTTTAACAGGATCTATAGGAAGTGTTGCAGGATTAAATAAAGTGGATTTGGCATAATTCTTGGTTCAATACATGATAGCTGTCATTATGGAGCCTATGGTTTGATCTCTTTAAACACTTCTTTCTTTCCGAAACCATCAGAGTTCCAGTCAATGTTTCCCCACTTTAAAATGGGAACATTTGCAGTTTGATCACCAAAATAACAGAGTCTTTGAAGAGTAGCTCTTGGAAAATGGAAACTGATTTTAAGTTTTTATTGTTTACTCGTTACAGATACCTCTGCAGAGAACAGGTACAGAGGCAAAATATGAGCAAAACTTTCCTTTAGAGGAGATATTTTATCTGCTGAGGACTGACTTAACCACCGTGTCACAGACTTAACTTCTCAATATATCTGATTGTTGGTAGAGATGTTTTTGAGCTTGACTTGTGTAAGTCCTGTTAGTATTTCATCTTGCTTTTGCTTCATTGTTGGCCTTTCCTTTTTAAGTGGGATCCCATGATTACTACCCTACCTGGCTTATACCTACTATCAGTTGGAGTGGTCAAACCTGCCAGTTGGATCTTTGGATGGTCTGAACATGTTGTGTGCTCCATTGGAATGCTCAGATTTGTTAATCTTCTCTTCAGCGTAGGCAACTTCTATTTACTATATTTGCTTTTCCGCAAGGTACAACCCAGACACAAGGTATGTTTCCAAAATAATTTATTATAAGTTTCTATGTAGTCAGGTCCACAATTTTGATAAATCGGTTTTATGAGATTTGGTGAAAAGTATCTTGAACACTTAGTGTTTTTGTATATTTTGTTAAGATAAAGCAAGTCTCCTACCCCATTTTAGAAGAAATTTGTATTTAAATACTTGAATGATTTGTAATACTTTGAATGATTTGTAATACTTTGAACGATTTGTGAAGCCTAAAATAAATATTTGTGAAGCAAATAAGTTCAGTAAATGTTTATGGTGCTTATTATGTGTGCTAGGCCCTGAGACTACAGAAATAAACAAGGTTTTTTTTGTTTTTGTTTCTGTTTTCCTTACCAAACTTATCTTCCTTAGGGAAGACAGACTGTGTCTAAGGAATTATGAGGTGGATTGCCTAGCTTTGAATTCTGTCCATTTCCTAGTTGTGTTACTTTCAGCAGGTTACCTTTAATAAATCCTTAGTGTATTCATCTATTAAATGAAAATATAGAATCTACATCACAGGACTATTTGGAGTACAGGAGATTAAGAGAAGGCTCTTGGAATAATGCCTGATAGAATAGTAAGGACTCAATAAATACTAATTACAATAATTATCTTTAATTAAGTGGTTTAAATAGTGTAAATGATGAGAGGGAGATAGGTATAAGACGTTATGAGGACACAGAAGGGTAGGGGAGCATTTATTTTGTAGCGTGACTCGCAGTAAGATGTATGAGTGGCATTGGGTAAGACTTCTCAGAAGAGATGGTATCTGAACTGAATCTTGATGAATAGACAGGACTGCAGGGTGGGGAATGAATCCTGGCGGGAGAAAAAGCATAAGCAAAGGTAGAAAGGAGGTGAGCAACAAGATCATAGAGAACTGCTCTTTGGAATCACAAGATTGTAAAGTACAAGGATGTGAGGCTGGACAAGTAGGCAGGGGTGAAGTCACGAATGCCTTTATATGTCCTGGAAAGGATTTTGAGCTTGATCTAGTAAGTGATGGACACATGCCTTTAATTTTAACCAAGAGAATGGTGTGTATAGTAGTGTAAATGCTATATATGTATTTACATTGCCTCTAAAGTTCTGAAGGGAGTATCTTTAAAAGAAATTAAGGATGATGGCTGAATGAATCCTTACTGGAAGCGCTAAGACTTAAGTTCAGGGAAATGAAACCATGTGCCCTGTGTTGCATTCATCAACTTGTTCCTCATAGAATTTAGTTCACACAATGACTCCTTCATATTTGCTGAATCATTCAAAGAGTTTTTGGACATAGAAGCTTTGAATACACATGTATTGTCTTCATGGCTTCCAAACTCATAAATATAACTGAAAAGTACCAGAAAGCGTCCTTACAAATGTATATTGTGTTTTTGGAAAGCTAAAAATAAGACTAATGTTTAATAATGATATTTAAATAAGATTCAGGTAGTTTTGTTTTTTAATAAATCTGTTAGCCCAGCAGAAATAGCATATTTGTTTTATTGTGAAAATAATTGTAAATGTATTTTCTCTTCCTCTTAGGCCGCCTCAAGTATCCAGAGAATCTTGTCAACATTAACGTTAGCAGTATTTCCCACACTCTATTTTTTTAACTTCCTTTATTATACAGAAGCAGGATCCATGTTTTTTACTCTTTTTGCCTATTTGATGTGTCTTTATGGAAATCACAAAACTTCAGCTTTGCTTGGATTTTGTGGCTTCATGTTTCGTCAAACTAACATCATCTGGGCTGTCTTCTGCGCAGGAAATGTCATTGCACAGAAATTAACTGAAGCTTGGAAAACTGAGCTACAAAAGAAGAAGGAAGAGAGGCTTCCCCCTATTAAAGGACCATTTTCAGAATTCAGGAAAATTCTTCAGTTTCTTTTGGCCTATTCCCTGTCCTTTAAGAACTTGAGTATGCTTTTCCTTTTGACTTGGCCGTACATCCTCCTAGTGTCTCTGTTTTGTGTTTTTGTAGTTGTTAATGGTGGAATTGTTATTGGTGATCGAAGTAGTCATGAAGCCTGTCTACATTTTCCTCAACTCTTCTACTTTTTCTCTTTTACTCTCTTTTTTTCGTTTCCTCACCTCTTGTCTCCTGGCAAAATTAGAGCTTTTCTTTCCTTAGTTTGGAAACGTAGAATTCAGTTTTTTGTGATCACCTTAGTCTCTCTATTTTTAGTTTGGAAATTCACTTATGCTCATAAATACTTGCTGGCAGATAACAGACATTATACATTCTATATATGGAAAAGAGTTTTTCAAAGATATGAAATCATGAAATATTTGTTAGTTCCAATATATATATTTGCTGGTTGGAGTATAGCTGACTCCTTGAAATCAAAGTCAGTTTTCTGGAATTTAATGTTTTTCATATGCTTGTTTACTGTTACAGTACCTCAGAAACTGCTAGAATTTCGTTATTTCATTTTACCTTATGTTATTTATAGGCTTAACATACCTCTGCCACCTATATCTAGACTTGTCTGTGAACTGGGCTGCTATGCAGTTGTTAATTTCCTAACTTTTTATATCTTCCTGAACAAGACTTTTCAGTGGCCAGATAGTCAGGACATTCAGAGGTTTATGTGGTAATGTCAGAGATATCTTGAGTTCTAAAAGTAGACTGTATTCAGACTATCTCCACAATGAACAATTGAAGAGGTAAAAATTATGGACCTTGTTTTAGGCACACTGGTGATCCACAGATCACACCAGATTTTTTTTGTGTTTTAAACATACATAATAAATCCAAGGAAGTGATAGAGAACTGAGTAAAGTTTAAGACTTGCTCCATAAGCCTGAATATTGGAAAATGAAATTGTTTACAATTATTTCATGATATCTCTTTGATACTGCTGACCACTCAAAAAAGCTTGAAAACATTTTACAGGTACATGGTTAACAAAACTGAGCTTTGTAGTACTGAAACTTATTTTACTAGTTCTCTCCAGAAACCGGTAGCACACAACTGTTTGAAAAATATTTACACGTGATCAGGTAATGTTCTTGACTGAAAAATTACTCAGCATTTCAGTAATTATAATTTTAATCATAAGGCAAAATAGACTCAGGTAGTAAATGTTATAAATTAGAGGCTCATCTATGTTTATCTTGGAATCAAGTTGTTGATTTTTGTTAAAAATCTAGAAATGATCAAGCCCTTCCACTAATTCTTTTTTTAAAAAATATGTGTATTTATTTACATATTCTTTGTACCTAGCATGGGGCTCGAACTCATGACCCCAAGATCAAGTCATATGCTCTACTGACTAAGCCAGCCAGGTACCCCCCTTTCACTGATTATTAATATGAAATATATGATGGCCAAAGATGAATTGTGTTGATGATAATACCTTTTAAAAGGGATTTTCATTCAGAAATACATTACTAATACATTAGTATTAGATTCTTCTGGCTGCCATAACAGATAACCACAAACTTGGTAGCTATAAAAATATCTCATTTCTGGAGATTAAAAGTCTAAAATCAAGGTGTGGCCAGGTTGGTTTTTTTCTGGAGGCTCTGGGAGAGAATCTGTCCCATGCTTCTAGCTTCTGGTGGCTGTCTGCAATCTTTGGTTTACAGATGTGTCACTCCACTCTCCACCTCTGCTTCGCATGATCTCTCTCTCATAAGGACAATGTCATTGGGTTAGGGTTTACCTGAATCCAGGATGGTCTTATGCCAAGATCTTTAATTAATCTACAGTGACCCTTTTACAAAAATAAGGGCACATTTATAAGTTCCATTTAGATAGACATCTTTTTGTGGGATACTTTTCACCCACTGAAGTTACCAAAGGATATTTTAGGATAAACTTCATAAAATGTGTAGGAAATGATTTCTTTGCTGAGATATTTTAAATAAAATTATGTCTTCACTAAGAGCTGATTCCAAGATTACATAGTTACAAAAATTAGGGTGATTTGGTATTTGATTCCATTATCCAAAACAGAAGTAAAAGGAAGTTTAGAGATTCATTGAGCTAGTCTTATTTTGTAGATTAGGAAGCAACTATCTGGATAGGATTTTTCGTGTGAGTCTTTAAATTCTGTGTCTACTGTGAATTCATTTGGTTGTTATTCCTTTACAGGAATGTATTACTTGGACATGTTTACTTTGATATGCAAACTTAGAACTGTGAATAGAATTTATCTTTTACTATCATTTTACATTTGTAAACTTACAAATAACTGTGGACAAATTACTTTATCTTCAATGTTAGACTATGCTTTCTCTGGGTTTTAAACAATGGGTAGATTTGGAAAATATTCTGTATTTGCAAATATAAAAATGTGTAGGTGAAAATTACAGGTATAGTCTTGAGTAATAAGTATAGAGCAGTCTTGTACTCTGTTCACTACTTAGAAAGTATATTGATTCTCTAGTTGTAACAGTGATTGTTGAGAGATGTTTTTACTTTTTTTTTTTTTTTTTTTTTGGTAATTAGATAAGAGAACAAATTATCTTATAATGGAGATCTGAGTTCCAGGAAGTCAAAGTAAACAACTTTCTTACCTGGTATTATTAATGCAAGGCTCTTGTGACTTGGAATATTGGTGAGATGAAAAAACTTCCCCTCTAACCCAGTCTGGAAACCATTCCACTCCATAGATTGGGGGAATCACTGTTCTAGTTCGTTTGTAAGAGTTGAATTCCTGCTATTTTAAGAGACATTTTGGAGGAAATCCATACTCAGAGGAAGTAGGGTGATCTTCCATGTTTTCCATAAAGCATAAAAGAAAAGAATTCTGTGAATTAAAGGGTGCTATAGAGCATACCTTTTAGAAACATCTTAGGTTGCATTTGTGTTTTGAACATTTTTCAAGAGTTATTGGATACATATTTTGACATGAATTTTTTAAAAATTAAATTGAATTTCTTGATTAAAAGGTGATTATTTAAAAGAAAAAAGTATTGATAAGCTGGAGAGCCTGTGGAGCCTTGTGATTATTGTTAAAATCTTTAAGTAGGATTATTTTAAAGAATGTCCTAAAAAGATTTAGTCCATAAATTTTCTAAGCCTTATAGTAAATCTTTTTGAACTTTTTTTACCTAACATGAAATTCCATAGATACAGAGTATTCCCTTTATATGGTGTTAGTAAGCAGTGTGCTGTGTTTCCTCACATACTATTTATGTTTTCTTTTGTTAGATACCTGGAAATCTTTTTAATGTATCTGATTATGTTTTTAAATTATTTGCAAGTACAGTGTTCCTGAGTTTAAATATAGAATATCATTTTGTGATAAGAGAAATTACGTTAGCTGTCTGGACTCTTCCTCTTCTTAAAGTTATTTCTGGAATGTGCTTAGTCTGTCATGAAGTACATTAATATAAGTAGCTTAATGCAGTTTATTTCTAATAGATAAATAGCTTAATGTAGTGTATTTCTTGTTTGAATTTAACTGCCCCTGTGCTTGATTTTTTTTGTCTTTATAATCGTCTGAAGACAGGAGGGGAGAAGAAAAGAGATCCTTACTTTTATTATACCACCTAAATAGTGGACCTTTATTTTAGATAAACATTTAAGTAAAATGTTGAAATAGAAAAATGAATTCATGTTGATTAGGTTAGAGAGCATTTATAATCTCTGAGGCAGTTAAAATTTCCTTTAGTGAAACAAGAAAGAAATATCTTGCAAGTAATATGAGAAAGGTTTTTCAAATGGAAATTTAAATATGACCTAGAAACCATGGGCTTGTAGAAAAAGCATTTAACACGAAAATGAGGATTTCTGTATTTGTGACTTTGGACTCAATAAAGCAAGTGGTTTTAAGCATTTGACCTCATTTCAAGTGAAAACAGTACTTGTCCTAACTCCAGTTATTCTAGCCTGTCACCTGTCTAGCCTAATTTCAGAACTAAGTCAGCCTCCTCCATATATCCATAAAGTTCTTAAATATATAGTCAGTGTCAAATAAATGTATATGGAATGAAGTTTTTAGTATAGAATGAAGTGAATGTCCTAGAAAAGATCTACTATGTAACCATAAGCTGACTTTAGGAAATAAATCCCATGCTTCATAATGGAAGCCCTCCTAAACTATTTTCTGCCTTAGTTTTAGTTTTTTTTTAATTTGCTATAATTTTAATACTTCTATCTGTATCTACTTGTAAATATGTTATATGTCATTATAATAGGATGTGATTTCAAATTTATCCCTGTTTATTTAAAATAAGTAACTGTCAACCATTAATATATAATAGCAGTAAAACTTCTGATGCTTATTAAACTTTTAAGGGAAAAAGGATTTCAACCAATTACGCATAATTTGTATTATTTTTGTTAGACTGCATTTTAGTACTTTAGGGATAAATGTTATTTTTTATTTAGGGTACTTTTTATGATTTAAATGTTGACAATTAGACAAATATTTCCAGTATATTAAATGAGAGGAAGAAAATTATAATAAAATTGTATAGATGATGTATTTTTAACATATATCCATGATCCAAATACTAAATCTTTAACATTTAAAAATTATTTCTAGAGAAAGAAATGTTGCCACAGTGAAGAAATCCAATAACACTGTTATAGTTTGCTTTTTAAAAAATGGACACTTGATGAATTTAATGTTAATTTGAGCCTAGTACATCACCATCAGGCAAAAAGAAATACGACATTTTTCTGAGGATAAATATTAAGCATAGTATTTATCTTTTGCTCACTGACTGAAACTTTTGTGATACAGCTGAACTGTATTGGGTGTGTGAAGGCATGTACAAAATGAGGAAGAGAGGGAAGAAAAGTAATGGTAACAAACAATTGCTGTCATTTATTGAACACCTACAGTGTTCAAGGCATTACACTGGCTGATTTATAAATACCATCTCATTTGATCCTCCTCATATTTGTACGGTGCGGATACTGATTTCTCTTTGACCACTGGAGAAGCTAAAGCTGAGGCAGACCACGCAAATCACCCAAAGTCAGCATCGTCACTGAAGGACATAGCTTGGCCTTACTCCCCTGCCTGTGAGTTTTTAAGTGACGCTCTGCCTCACTATGAAAGGTTTTCATTAAGAGAAGTAAAATCTGGAGAGCTGTTCATCTGTCTTTACCATGTGTTAACCAGAACATTCATGGCATATTATTGTTTGTATTGGATGGAGTCGTTTTTTTTAAATGCTAGCACCTGTTTAAAAGAACACGAACAGATAATAGTTATAAGAGAAATGGCTAAAAGAGTAGAGATGATGTTTAACTTGGAGAATTAGAGAGTCTACAGTTTGATAGGCTCTCATAATTGAAGAATAATTATTTGGAAGAAGGACTGGACTATTCTTCATTCCCAGAAGTTTATATCAAGGACCAACAGATTTCAACTGATAAAAAATATATTGTCTGTTTAGTCTCTGTAGGGGAATGGATCCAGAAAAAAGTAAATTCCCTCACTCACTGGATGCAAGATTTCTATTTATCAGGAATGCTTCAGAAGAGATTCAGATAGTAAGTAGAGTAAAATGTTTTTAAGATGCCTCACAACCCGGTGATTTAAAATTCATGTTTGTTACAACTAACATTTTTTTCACTAATTGATAAGTCATGGTGAAGTATTTCTGGTGACTTGCATGCTGTCTTTAATGTATTTTAAATTTCTGAACAAAAATTGTACTTCTGATTCTGTTACCTTGTTTTAGAAATAAATTTGAGATATACAATTTAGTAGGAGGTATTTTTATCTGTAATGTTTAAGAGTAATGCTAATATAGTATTAAATTTGTTTTCTATTTTTTTAAATCCCCTTTACATTAGTGAAGAGAATGTGCTTCTATTGGAAAAGGATGTTCCTCCTAATGAGAAATAGGGCAAGCACGATCTATAAAATGTTTTTAAATGCAGTATCCACTAGGTGGTGATATTGTACTACATTTCTGAGTGTTCTAGTAATTAAATTTGCTTAGTAGTCTTGAGTTTATTTTTTTTTATAGTTTTAAGTTTTGAGCTACAAAGTAATTTATAACTTATCCATGTCTATTTATTATAATGTTATTCACAATATTTTCTAAATTCTGTGAAGCTAAGCTAAATGTAAGAAACAATCATTTTTGGGTTTTGTAAGCCTGTATTAGGTGGTTTAAACTAGCATATCTTCCCAGAGGATGTTCTTTACTTCATATGGCATAGACAAGATCTTTTCCCATAATCAGTGAATGATGATGGTGAAAAATTTGGAAACTCCTATTTCATTGCATTGGCCAGTGTTATAAATGCTTTACCCATGTTATTTATGCCTCATAACTACCCTGGTGTGATCAGTACTGTTTTTCGTATCTCTGCTGTATACAGGAAGAAACTGAGTGTAGGGAGATTAAATATTTATCCCAAGATTGGAAAATAACTGGCTGGCAGGGATTCACATCTAGGCAGGCTGACTCTAGAAACCATGTTAACTGCTGTGATCTGATGGGGGGAAGGGAGAATGCATGTATTCTAACCTCAAATTCGTAGAATATCAGAAAGAAAAATAAACCTGAGGAATGTAGTTATACTCCCTGATTTTATAAGTCAGGATTATGAGGCCCCCACTAATTTGTCTGTTCCAGAGGTACATAATCTTCCATCTACCTTATTACCTTCCATTTTCTGGAGGGAAAAAACAAAACAAAAAACCCTCAGGATTAGAGTCTTAGCCATAGTGACATTGAAATAAAGACCTTTGTTTTAATTAGATAATTCCAGCTACCAAATGGAGGAGCATAGTTGCTTGAAAATGATTACTTAGTTTCTCCAAAGGGACTACTATTTGGAAGCAAATTGTCAGTCAAACTTTATATACTTTGGAATTTTTAAAAAAATTTTGACTGGAAAACTTAATCTGTAAAAAAAATATTTATAAATATATGTTGTAGATGCTTTTAAGTTTTATATTTTGTTAGATAACTGTTCTGAAAATTATATTGTGGTTTATGTCATTTAAAACTGATTTTTAAGTAAATCTATTTATAAGAATAAAAGACTTCTGTTTTCCATTTTAAAAAGTTTGTTCAGATATCATGGTTTCACTTTGCTTGTAAATAAATTCATGTTTTATAATATTTTGTAATTTATTGTTTCTATTTAACATGCTCTCTAATTCTAACCTGATGCTGGTGGCTCTTTGTACTACTGTTAGTTTTCCTTGTCTACCATTCACCAATCCTACATTTATTAGTGTTGAAATAGTAGAACTGAATAATACATTTTTTAAATGTTTATTTGTTTTTGAGAGAGACAGAGTGTGAATGGGGGAGGAACAGAGAAAGAGAGGGAGACACAGAATCTGAAACAGGCTCCAGGCTCTAAGCTGTCCGCACAGGGCTCGAACTCAGGAATGGTGAGATCATGACCTAGGCTGAAGGTGGACGCTTAAACGATCGAGCCACCCAGGCGCCCCGGAACTGAATAGTATTTGTAAGCATCTGTAATGAGGGCTTATATACTTATATATATACTTATATACTTATTTAAGTATGTAATCTTCCTTTTATTCTCATAGTAATGGAAGGCAGTTAAATACTGGACGATCACTTTGAACTTGTAGAGGTTTGGGTTTCATTGTTAGTCCCAGAGTTGTTTTCCAAGGTCCTTTAATGTGGCAGGACTCAAACCCCGGATTTTGATCCCTTTTGGTAAGAAGAGATCCCTGCTATGTGTTTCAGCTCTTGCTTTCCTTTGGGCTTCTTAAGAGTTTTCCCCCACTTATATGCCAGCCAGATACAGGTTTGGGTGTTCCTTCTTTACCTGCCCCTCCTTCCAGGATTTCCCTTTTTAATTTATAGCCACCTTAAACACCACCCACATCTCTCAAGCCAGTGATGTTGCAGCTTCCTGGGCTCAGAAAAAGTCATACAAACATGGATCTCACCCAGCGAGATGTTCCAATTATCAAATCCTATCCAGTTCCTGCCTGCTTCTGTTTGCTCTTCAGTGCTTTTATAAATAGATCTTTTTAAGTTTATCAATCTACAGAAGAGTCAATAAGATAAATGTTCCTCTGCCATTGCCTGCCCAGGAATTCTGTCTTGATTATAGTTGTCATGTATTATGTATAGTCTTTGTATACATAATGTTTCTGTTTATGGATAAAGAAGTTGGGGTGTTAATTTTGCTTTGAAGAACTTAAAAAGAGTTTCTAAAAATTGGTGGGGGCAGTTACAGATTTTGAATATGGTCTCTTAATATAGTAAATTATAAAATTTGAAATTAAATCTAACAGCTATTTGAAGGTCCCCAATGATATCAAAAACCTGAAAGAGACTAACCTATTCCAGATAAGAGGAACTCATGTTTTAATTGGAGGTAACTAATGCGAAGTATAATATAAGTAGGAGTAGAAAACTAGGGAGTTTACTTGGAAGTAGAAATTATATCTGTCTGAAAGGACAAAGAAATATTTTATGGAAAAATTAGCATTTGAGACTATACTTGATGGGGACCGATAAAGACACTGTGAAAAACATTCCAGGCAGCATAAAGGGGCATGGACAGAAGTTGAATAGTAAAACTAACGCACTTCAGTAGTAGGTAATGATAACTGACCAATATTAATGGAATGCTTGCTATGTACCAGGCACTGGCCTAAGTCTTAAATATGGATTAATTTATTTAAGCCTCGTAATATGAGGCAAATGCTATTTTCCCCATTTTAGTGATGAGGAAAGTGAGGTACAGGAAGTTGAAACCTTGCAAATTTAGGAAGTGTGGCCCCAGGACCACTTGCCCTTTTATGCAAAGTATTATACTAACTCCAAACTTGTATAATCTGACAGCCTGTCCTTCAAAGGGGAGTTGAGGTTATTTTTATGTAGAAAATAGGTAGAAAAGAATACAGGTAGAAAAAGAACAATGTTTGATTTGCAACAAGGAGCAAAGAAAACACAAGCTACAAGCAGACCCTATGATATGCAGGACTGGAAGAAAAATAGCTATCATTTGAGAAAGGATGTCCAGAAGATGAAGAGGAAGGGAATTGCTCTGTAGTCCCTCCTTAGATCCTGTTATACATGGTACAGAGACTAGGGAGAATGGCATTCTTAATAAAACATGAAGGGTTGACGGAGGCACCCTAAAACATTTGGCCTGAAAAGTTTTGAAGCCAAGAGGAGAGATTTAGCTTTCTCGGGAGGAAACAGGTACCTATTAGTGTTTCTCAGTGAGTACTGTTCAGTGCAATTAAAAACAAAATTTTTTTTAAAGTTTTATTTATTTCTGAGAGAGACAGCGTGAGCAGGGGAGGGTCAGTGAGAGAGGGAGACACAGAATCTGAAACAGGCTCCACGCTCTGAGCTGGCTGTCAGCATAGAGCCTGACACAGGGCTCTAACCCACGAACCATGAAATCATGACCTGAGCCGAAATCGGACACTTAACTGACGGAGCCACCCAGGCGCCCCTGTTTAGTGCAATTTTTTTCTTTTACAATCTGTCAGTCTCTAAAATTATGGTGAAAGAACCAAATATAGGTTAAGAAACCTGGCCTGACTTGGAATGTTAACCTTAAGTGATGCCTGTGTACGTGGTTGGTCTTATGACTGACTGACTGGATGACCAAATGTACTGCAAAGTTACAGGGGTGTAAGGAGGCCCTATGGATTAGGGACATCCATAAGCAGGGGAGACCCTTCAGTTCTAGGAGATCAGTTTTTAATTAACCCACCTAGAATCTATGCCTTCGTCATAAGACTTTGTCCCTTTTTGATATAATGCAGGGGAAAATTAGACGTTAAGGCTAATCGGGCACTGATGTTTTAGTATCGTATGAGAATATCTATGTGTGTCTGCTCCAGGCCTCCAGCCATCACCACCCCCCCTCTCCTCCCCACCCCCCTCACTGCCTGTTTACATATGTGCAAGTACTTCTGGGGATTATAGGCATGAGAACTTTAGGAACATTGTTAGGAAAAGAAGGAAGAGAGTGAAATAAGAAGACTGAAGAAAGAGGAAGGGCCAACAAGAAAGGGTAGCCCAGAGAGGAAACATTTCTTCATGTATTATTGACTCCTAGAATTTCTTTATTAAAATAATTTATTCAGGGGGCACCTGAGTGGCTCAGTCAGTTAAGCATCCAACTTTGGCTCAGGAGATGATCTTGCGATTCATGAGTTCCATCCAGCCCCACGTCTGGCTCTGTGCTGACAGTGCAGAGCCTGCTTGGGATTCTCTCTCTCTCTCTCTCTCTCTCTCTCAGTCCCTCCCCCACTTGTGCTGCATCTCTCTCAAAATAAATAAACTTTAAAACAAATACTTTATTTAGGTGGCTCATTTCTTATGGAATGCATACAAAATGCTGATGTGAAAAGAAAGAATATAATAGGATCTGGGTTGAAAGACCATACTGATCTCTGTTTGCACAATTGAAATTCAGAGTAATGTTAATATTTTAGTGGGGATTACTGGACAATTTTTAATCCCCTTTTTGCTAATCTTTTTTTTATAATGCATTATCCTCAATTGCACTGAAGGTGGCAGTCTTGGACATCTTTTCCAGTCAGTGTAACAGGAACTTTATACCATTTTATTTACCTATATAATGTTACAAATACTAATGATTTTTTCATTATCCTTTAAAAGACACTGTTTACATACGCTTGGGTTTAGGCAATGTTAGCTATTTTTGTCAGGGGGCATTTTGGAAATGTGACCAGTGCAAACGTAAATCAGATCATTACAACTGCATTCCATTCCTCATTATTAAGAATATGTGAGAAACTTTATACTTTCTACTTTTCATTTGGAATACCATTCAAACCTGGAACTTATAAATACAGTTTTAATTCCTGTGAAATTTATTATATCTATCTATCTATCTATCTATCTATCTATCATCTATATGTTTCCCAAAAGCTTTTGTTGATGGGAAATTCTTGTTTCCCTTCTATCTGGCCATTACACAAAGAGTCAGCCATTCTCTGACAGCTGTGCTATAGAGCTGGTTACTTGATAAGGGAAGAAAGCGAAGTAATTGTTTTTGTAATGCTATATGAGTAACATAGGAAGTGAATGTTTTAAATAATCATTCATTTTAGCTGAAATAAATGCAACTTAAAATTTCTGCAAGTCTCCAAATAGTTTTCAGTGATATGTGACTTGATAAACTATTTATGGGTCTCCCGTGATTTATAATGTTTGACATGATAGTGGCTCGCTCTTTATGTTAGTTTTTCCATATATATGTATATATGAAAACTTCCATGGGCAATTTATCATCTAATGGTATTTTCTCAGTCTTAAGAGATAAAGAATTCAGTTTGGAAGATGATAAATTTATTATCATGAGATCTTTGAATCTCTGGATGTATTCTGTTATTTCCTTTTTTTTTTTTTTCCTTTTTAATGTTTATTTTTGAGAGGGAGGGAGAGTATGAGCAAGGGAGGGGCAGAAAGAGAGGGCACACAATCCCAAGCAGGCTCCAGACACTGCGCTGTCAGAACAGAGCTTGACGTGGGGCTCAAACTCATGAACCACGAGATGATGACGTGAGCTGAAGTTAGATGCTTAACCGACTTTGCCATACAGGTGCCCCATCTGTTATTTTCTTAGTAAACTCCCAGTTAAATATTTATCATTAGAGTTTAAGGGATTAGTATAATTTTACTTTCTTCCTAACACAATTTTCTTCCATTTGCAAATTCTTATCAAATTGAAATAATGGTAGTTTTTGGAAGAAAAGTATCTCATTATGACAATTAATTGGCAAGAATCGAAGAAGAAAATTCAGATCAAACTTGGCCTTCATGTTTCTTAATGGTTTGGTAATTTTGGCTTAATATTTGGTAAGGATAAACTGATCACGGTCAAAATTAGAATTGAAAATATTCTAATTTATAACTCTATTTTTTAATTATCAAAATAACTCCCCTCTAACAAATAAGAGAAAATGATTGAATAAAATAAAAATAAACCAATTTCCTATTTAGTATACATTAAGTTCTGATCAATTGTCTTTTGTCTAAGGTAGTAAAACACCTGTAAAATATAGAACATTCAGGCTGGCATCAGACGACCTGGATTCAAGTCCTGACTGCCTTCAACATGTTATGTGATATTAGGTAGGTGAGCCTGCCAAGATCAAATGAGAAAAGGAAATACACATGAAAATGATCTGGTAGCTGTAATCACACACCATGTAAGGGATATGTATTAGTTATTAAATGTGTGACTCAGGCGGTGTTCCAAATGGTTTAATTAACTTTCATTATATGTTTTGTGTAATGTTAAATAGCATTAGGTGATTGAATCATTACCCTCTGCAGGAGTGTTGTGGAGTGGCTTTTGACATTATTTAAAATGGAATTTGTTTCTTTAAAAATACATGGATTTGGGGAACGATTTTGTGATTTCTGGGATACTTGCTAATTATTACAGTTAATGAGCTTGTTGTCTTCTAAAAACAGTAGTTTGATGTTCTAGAAAATGTTCCATTCTTTACAATTACATTAGTTGAGCTTTTTAATGATGCAAGGAAGAGATGAGGGGAGTCACAGTGGATAAACATAAATTAGGAGGCGATATCATCTCCCCATCTATGTCATCTGTCACTGTGAGTCCCAGAGCTTGTAAATCTGGAATGTATAGCAAACATCGTGGAGAAGTTTGTCAGCAGCTCGGTGTCATTGGAGATAACCAAGTTCAAAGTACTCCCCATTTCTTTTGGCCCTCTGTCTCCTTCCCTACACCAAACCCGGCAGCAGTTCTAATCGGATGAGTCTGCTTTCACTCCCACTCACAAGGTACAGAATAAGCAGGCTTTCCCTCTAAACCATACTACAACTCACTCAGTACAATCCATAAATAATCTCCTTTGACTCTCATACCAATTGCTGGTCCAATCAATTACGGCCTACACAGGTTTGGTTACATTAAGAACATAAGTCACACGAAGCACCAACTTTATGCAGAAACTGTCCTGTTAGAGCTGCTGTCATAAGAATATCCATGGATTCACCGAGTATAGGAGCATACCATTCTTTATAACCAGCAGAAACATTTTATTGTAATATTTTATACTATAACATTTTATAATAAATTTAGACGGGTACATGTGACTACTTTCCAATTTTTTTTCCCTTAGAGCCCCATAAAAAACATAATTACAGGAGTAATCAATAGTTATTTGCTAAGTGCGTGAGATTCTTCATTGCTATGAAAATATGCATCATTTAGTATCAAATGAGAAGATAGAAGAGAAGATATTCAGGAAGGCTTCTGTGACATTTCTCTCTTCGTTACTGAATATTTTTCTATTTTCTCATAGCCATTATCACATGGAAGTTGACAGCTTCCTTGTCTTTATTCCTTACTAAACTAGTATGAGCTTCATGTAGTCAAGGGCTGTGTCTGTTGTATTCACAAATGTCATCTACTTAAACAGCAAATATGCAATAAATTGTTTTTGACTGACTGCTTGAATAAATATGAATAACTAGATGCCTAAGGATGCCAAACTTTTAAATATAGAACTCTAGTCAGATTTAAATCTGGCAACATTCTATGGAATTTTCATTTCCTTATCTTTTATCTGAGATTCAACTAGATACTTAGAGGCCAGTATAGTTTTTTAGTAGAATGCCTCCCTACCTTAAAATAAAAGTAATATATAAGATTCCCTAGCAGAAATTTAATTTATAGCAATATTAATATTATTGATAATATTAATATTATTAACACCTAGAATATTCTTTTTGTATAAATGTTGAAATATTTATTTTGAAATATATATCTGCATATGTATCCTTTAGAAACATATTTACCACTTATTTGGAAATAAGTAATGTTCTAAATAAACTTGGGTAGTAGCTATTAAAAGAAAATCTTGTGTCTTTGATGATTAGAATTAGTTATATAATCAGTTTGGCGATTTACAATGATATAAAACATTTGACACATAATCGCTAGTGAATGTCTGCCCAATACTATTTAAAATTAAAATATTCTTGTATGTAAATGCATAGTGGAAAGGACATTGAGGCTACAGATAAGCCATTGCTCTTTGCAACATCAGCAGTTATATTTGCAACCCATGTTTCTCATGTCATTTACCCCATTTTAAAACAGTATCTTTTGGGGCACCTGGGTGGCTCAGTCAGTTAAGCATCTGACTTCGGCTCAGGTCATAATCTCACGGTTTGTGGGTTTGAGCTCCGTAGGGCACTGTGCTGACAGCAAGCTCAGAGCCTGGAGCCTGCTTCAGAATCTGTATCCCTCTCTCTCTGACCCTCCCCTGCCCATGCTATCTCTCTCCCTCTCTCAGAAGTAAATAAAACATTAAAAAGTTTAATTAAAAAAATAAAATAGTACCTTTTGTCATTCAATTACATTGATAAATTTTTCAGGTAGCCAGTTTCACAGCTCTCTCTGGAGATGTGTTGAAGGTCTAGTCACTGAGGTTTGGTTTGAATATTATATATTTGCTGTTACATTGATACTTTTTAAATAGTGGGCCAGCATACTTATTTTTTTTTTCCTTTGCAAATCAAGGCATGTCAAATAATGGTAACAATGCAGCATTAATTCTGTTCTCATTTGTATGCATAATGATCTTTTATTGCTTAAATGTGAATGTAATCTTTTTGCTGTTATATTTACTGGTGATGAGGGAGGAAAGTTTTGTTTGCTTTTTGTTTTTACATAAATAAATAGGCTGTTATTGTATGCTATCTTCCCATAATGGTGTTCCAACAAAAAATAACAGTTCACTCATCTTTGGGCGTGCAGTTTTTCATTTATGTTAACCACCTTGGCAATTAAAGTAGACAGTTCCTAAATACTTAATAAGACGTTCTTGTACTTCTAAAAAAGGTGACTGAAATCACAATAATTTAACCCATGCATGATATAATAGGAAGTTATGATCTTTATTAAGCAATTCTATAAAATTCTACATTCATTATCAAGATCTTTTTATTCAATCTTATAGATCAAAACATAATGTAAAATTCAATAAAGTCATAATAGTTAAAACAACTATTTATATAGCTCATGATTCTGAATAAGTCAGCAGGGTAGAGTGGACTCAACTGCATGATTGTCTACTGGTCTCAGCTAGACTCACTTCAGTTAAACCATTCTGACAAAGAAGGTAATTAACTGTTCACTGGGGTTGTCAGCAGGACTGGGCCGCATGTCTCCAGCAGGCTGGCTTGTGCTTCTTCACATGGTAGCATTGTCAGAGCTACAAGAAAGGGCAAGTCACAATGCACAGGCAATTTTCAGTCTCTGCTTATTGTTGTGGGGTTTTTTTAATGTTTAAATTCTTTTTAAATGTTTATCTTTGAACAAGAGAGTGGGCACGAGTTGGAGAGAAGGAGGCACAGAACCCAAAGCAGGCTCCAATTCTGTGCTCAGGCTGTCAGCACAAAGCCCGATGCATGGCTCAAACCCACAAACTGTGAGATCATAATTTGAGCCAAAGTCAGACGCTTAACCAATGAAGCCACCTAGGTCTCCCAAGTCTCTTCTTGTTTTATATTTGCTACTGTTTCATTGGACAAAGCAAAAATCAGAGCTAAGCCAGAGTCACTATGGAAGAGTACTGCCAAAGGGCTTAGACGAAGAAAGGGAAGAATTTGCAATTTCTTTGGATGGATTTTGGGGTAACTGATTTATATACTGCTATGTAACTGTCTTTGTAAAAATATTGATTTGTTTGTAATTATAACTGATATTAAACACCAAGTTATTTCTAGGTTAAACAAGCAAAAGTTTGTACTGCCTTTTTTTTTTAAGTTTATTTATTTATTTATTTAGACAGAAAAAGAGAGAGAGAGAAAATATGAGCAGGGGAGGGGCAGAGAGAGAGAGGAAGAGAGAGAATCTCAAGCAGGCTCCACACTGACAGCTGGTGGAGCCAGACAGATACAGTGTTTGAACTCACAAACTGAGATCATGACCTAAGCCAAAATCAAGAGTCAGTTGCTTCACCAACTGAGCCTCCCAGGCACCCCTCCACTCTCTTCTGCTCCCAAATTTGGCAATTTTTAGCTTACTTCTCTGATATTAAGTACTTAATTTTTATAATATATACCTTATGTATTCTAAACCTTTCATTATCAATTCACATTTTTTTGGTTCATGGATTGAAACTCATTAGACATTTTTAGACATTTAGCTAAGATTGTGCTATATATAACATTCAATATAACATTGAATTATGTGATTTTAAATTTCTCAAGTATTAAAAATATATAAAATCAGCAATGTCTGAAATTTTGTTCTAAAAGAGTAAATTGCAACTGTCACCAGAACCCCAGATTTTTCTCTTGGAATATATAAATGTTCATTACACTGACCTTCTTAATAAATAGCTGATGTTACATACATTCAGATAGATAGATAGATAGATAGATAGATAGATAGATAGATAGATAGATAGATGATGGATGGATGGATAGATAGATGACAGATAAATAGATGATGTTACATGTATATACATCTATATAGAGAGATAGATATGTAAATATCTGGTTTCTTGTGGGTCTACCTTTATTGAAATGATTAATCTATGTTCTAAATATTTTGGAGTCCCCTTTCTTAGAACTATTTTCAGAATTCCAAAACCACATATTTGGAAAACAAAAACAGGAAACATTCCTTTATCATAGAGTCTTAGACTACCAATATGTTTTCTCTGTTTTTTTCCCTTCCTACTTTACTGAGTTCATTCAATACTATTCTTCTGTCCCTGAAGCCAATATCAAAGGACCCTCAAGAAAAGGCTTTGTGGAGGGGCACCTGGGTGGCTCAGTTGGTTAAGCATCAGACTTTGGCTGAGGTCATGATCTCACAGTTTGTGGGTTTGAGCCCTGCATCGGGCTCTGTGCTGGCAGCTCAGAACCTGCTTCAGATTCTGTGTCTCCCCCTCTCTCTGGCCCTTCCCTGCTTGTACTCTGTCTTTCTCTCCCCCTCTCTCTCTCAAAAATAAATAAACTTTTTTTTTTTTCTTTTAAAGGAAAGGCCTGTGGAAGTGAAATCTGGAGCTACACTGAAGCCTAAGAGACTGGCAAAACTTAAGTGAGTATGTGATCCTCTGCCCATTTCATCCATTACTTTTTTTTTTTTAACTTTTATTTTTAATATATTTAAAAATATTTTATTTATTTTTGAGAGAGAGAAAGACAGAGCATGAGCAGGGGAGGGGCAGAGAGAGAGGGAGACACAGAATCTGAAGCAGGCTGCCAGCTCTGAGCTGTTAGCACAGAGCCCAACATGGGGCTTGAACTCACAAACCGTGTGATCATGACCTGAGCTGAAGTCAGATGCTTAACTGACTGAGCCAGCTAGGTGCCCCCATCCATTACTTTACTTATTTCCATGTTCCAGTGAGAATCTATTAGTTGTAAGTAATTAAAAAAAAAAAATGCAGACTTAAGCAAAAACAAAGTAAAACACAAAGGAGTTTATTGGAAGATCAAAGAAAGAACTTTAAGAATCTGAGCCTTCCCTAGAACCTCAGGGTTAGGACCAGGCCTCATCATTTCTTTCCCCCAATCTCTATTTCTCTTTGCCTGTTAATTTACTCTCTCCTACTGCAGCCAGATTTCTCCACTCAGGCAGGAAGAATGACCAGCAGGAGTCCTTTGTTCATATCATATCAGCTTGTCAATCACAGAGGAAGGAAGTATTTAGACTGAGGTTTCTTCCATCCATTACTTTTGATTATTCTGGCTCCAGCACTGGAGAAGCTTATTACCATCATTAAATACAAATTATTGGATTTTACTGCATGCCAGGTACTGTTCTGTGAGCTCTCCATGATTAACTAATTTAATTCTCACAAGAACTATTGGAGACAATTATATGAAGTAGATGCAATTCCATATTATGTGCATTTTACAGATGAACAAATTGAAGAACAAAAGGATTCAGTAGCTTACAAAGTCACACAACTAGTAAGTCACAGAGCCATGATTCAATATGAGGAAGGCTGCTCCAGGGTGATGCTCTGCTCAGTCTGCCATGGTTTGGATGCTTTGGGAAAATAGTGGTTGCATTTTCCCCAAATTTCTACCAGACCCCTCCCAGGAGATGGCAATTCATGTTCTAAAACAGTTCTGTATAACCAACAGTGGTTCCTCTTTGAAAAAAACTGAATTTGAAATGCATTTATAGGTTGTTGTTTTTCAGGGAGTTTTTTGTTTTTTTTGAAACATGTAATTTAGGGCCTTTAGGATTAGAAAACAATTAGCCTCAAGTTTACCCGGATAGATGGGCAATAAAAGGACTAAATATAATTGTGACTGGAGAGTAAATGATCATGTAGAGCAAAGACTTGTCAAAAACTCTTACCCAGGATTCATTCCACCTTCATAATACAAATTAGCCCTATCTGAGCTTTGTATTATTTCTTGTTCCTTGTGTGGACATTAGTTATCAATTTTATAAAGCGTGTTGATTTTACTGTGATCCTCTGAAGAAACAGCACAAGTACTTTACACTACCAGATATAAATAAAACATTCGTAAGTAGTGAAGTGACTTCTAGTTATTTATAAGGTAAAGTTTCATATTGCAGGACAAATTCTGAATTAGAGGGCTGCAGCACTCGCACTTTCGAGGCATGCTGTTATGGAGCAAGATACACCTCCATAAACAGCTTCTTTCCCTGTCGGCCCCCTTTTACCTGCTCACTTCACTTCTTGGGCGGTTTCATCAAGTCCAGGAATAAAGCCTTTTTTTTTTTTTTTTTTAATCACTGTCCTTAGCAAAAGAAAAAGAAAAGTCCTGTAGAAACTAGCCATTGCTCTTAAGAAACCATCAATGATAAAGAAGCGAACTCTGATCTTTCTGAAGTGAACTTTTGGCTGAAGACATTATGTGTCTATAACCTCAAGAGACACTATTATTATCCAACTTTATATAGAGATGGTGTTGGGAATGCCATATGGGTTCATATTCAGAAGAGAATATTTGTGTGTGTGTGTGTGTGTGTGTGTGTGTGTGTGTGAACTAAAAAGTCATTTAAACAAGTTTGCGCAAATCAAAATTAATACAGGATACCAAAGGACATATTGTTAGGCATGTATCTAGAGGTTCTAATAGTACAGAAATTTCTCCTGGGTTTTTTCCCAAATATTTATTGATCCTATGCTATATGGGGACTCTGACAAATACTGACCTTGTCATCAGGAAGAGGGACAAAACTAACATTTTTTGAATTATATCTGTGGTCTAGAAATTGTTATTAATTGATTCAATGCGTTTATTTTCAGAGCAGGGAGCTGAACAGTGAACTAGGTAGACAAGGTCCCTGGTATCAGGGAAATTATATTCTAATAGAAACAGAAAAAACCCAGTCAATGAATATGACAATTTCAGGTAACACTAAGTGCTATGAAGAAAAATTTAAAAGTGTGATATGACAGAGAGGGGTAGCGAAGGGGGCACTTGAAATAGACAAGGGCATTTTGGAGAAGGAAATATTTGCATTGAATCCGGAATATGAAGAAGGAAATAGCTAAAGGGAATAGGTAAAGAAGACTATTCCAATGACAGCAAGGCAAAGGCTCTGAAATTTATACATACATTATCTCCTTTAATCTCACTAGGTTTCTGTGAACCATGTAGTACTAGTCTAATTTTATAGATTGAAGAAAACATAGACATAACTCACATAAGGGCACTCACCCAGTAAACATGACGTCATGATATGAGCTCAGGATTGTCTCGTTCTTTCTGCTACACATGCTGTTTCATTGCGACTAACACACAGATTAAACATATGTAACAAAAAGGAATTCCAAAGGGGAAAAATAGTTTCTTGTTCTAAACATAAGGTTAAAAATATCCTAGGTGACACTGATTCTTCATTTTCTTTCTACTAAGAAATACATAACAAAGATTTACATTTGTCCATTTTTGATTCATTCAGTCAATAGATATTTTTGGGTGTCTACAGTTTGACTACAGCATGTATGAAGAGTTTGGAATAAAGACGTGATGAATGGTTTGAAGTACTTACCTTCAAGAATTTGAAAGGTTTTTTTTTTTTCATATATTGTTCATGAATTTTAGCAGTATAATTTGTTCTGCTGAAAGTTATATGGAAGGAAATAACTATTTTTTTAATCATTTTATTATATATTATATTTGTGACTGTCTCTGAATTGTGGCAAATGCCAAAAGAAAGAATTGAACATCTTTAATTTAGCCTTGCCTAGGTCTACCATTTTCAATTAATTCTTTTTCTGCTGTGATTTCTGGCTTATTCTCTCACTGGCTAATGGCTAGATAGGACAATGGTTCAGCAAAAATAACAAAACCATGTATTCCTACTCATGTGCCTTAAATATAAGTATGCATTTGTGAAAGGAAATCTGCAGTTATTTAAGCCAATGCCTGTATTTAGTGTTTGCTTAACTGCTCTCCTACTTGAAGTTTAAACAGTAATCTGTCTGCATATACTAAGTACCTAATATTGTTCACTGGAAAGATAAACACTGCCACATATTACTCTGTTTAACTTTTTTATGGTCTTTCCTATCATGATACTATATTCTAATGTATTACTATGTGGCTTCACTAAGAAGTAAAGGAGCTAGAGCATGTAGGCCTTGTGGTATTGTAAGGACTTTGGTTTTTACTCGAAGGAGAAGAGAACCTATTAGAGAATCTTCACCATGAATGCCCTGATCTGATGATCTACGTTTTTAACAGAACAAGTCTGGCTGCTATTTTGAGTATAGGCTAAAGGGTAGATGAGTAGAAGCAAGGACTGGAGTAGAAGCAAGCAATAATCTGGATGAAGTTATTAGATACATGTTTGGGGTGACAGAATGTGCCAGGGACTAGAATATAGGCATCAAACTGGAATGAACTTGGTTTTGTTTTTATTGCTATATCCCCAGAGCCTGATATAATTGCTGAAGAATTATAGCAGAAGCTATTTGACTGAAGCTTGTTGACTGAATAGATGGATGGATAGATGGAAAGCAGACATTCATTTTTATAGTTTCTGTCTTCTCTCCAGCTTTTTATTACTTTGTTTTAAGATTAAAGCTACTTATCCTCTCATTAAAAAAAAATAAGTAAAAGATAAATAAGCAAAGTAGCCAGTTTCTTCTTAAATTTAACTGAATTCAACAAAAACTTTTGAAGTGCTTTTATGTGATGAATACCTTGGGATGTTAAGGACATCAAATGCCAACGGAATGTTCCAAGTCAGGGAGATGAGATTATTGCTTTAGGGTCAGGACGGTGCCACAGCACCAAAATTTACTTCAAAATCAAAATTGTTACATAGGATTTAATTTCCTCCTCAGAAGGGAATAACCTTTTCTTTGAATCAGACTTGGCTTTTTCTGCCTACTATAAATGGAATCATGTGACCTGAACATTACAGACTGCCTACATAGCAGACTATGTTACAAAAGTTTGGGGAACAAAGGACACCCAAGTGCATTTAGTTTGCAACATTTTCTGTAGGGAAGTAGAGAAATGAGACACATACTCACACATAGGCTTTTTTGGATACAAAGAAACACTGAACTGATACAGAAGTAACTAATGCCTGGTTTTCTTTAGGGTGCAGGAGATAGAGTAGTAAACTTTTCAATAGTTTTTAAAATATCATTTTGATAATTGATCATGAGAATTATTACCTAGTCAATGAGTAAATAAATAAAAAGTATCTTTTTAATTCCAGTATAATTAACACAGTGTTACATTAGTTTCGATGTACAATATAGTTCAACAGTTGTGTACATTATTCAATGCTCATCACAATCTGTGTACTCTTAATCCCCTTCACCTATTTTTACCCATTCCTCCCACCCACCTACCCTCTGGTAACCACCAGTTTGTTTTCTACAGTTAAGATTCTGTTTTTTCGTTTGTCTCTTTTTTCTTTGCTTGGTTCTTAAATTATAGTGAAATTATATGGTGTTTGTCTTTTTTTGACTTATTTTGCTTAGCATTATACTCTCTAGATCAATCCATGCTGTTGCAAAGGGTGAGATTTCATTCTTTTTTATAGCTGAGTAATATCCCATTTATATTTATCTCTTTATCCATTCATCTATTGATGGACACGTGGGTTGTTTCCATAATTTAGCTGTTGTAAATAATGCTGCATTAAAAACAAGGTGCATATATCTTTTTGAATTAGTGTTTTTGTATTCTTTGGGTACATGCCCAATAGAGGAATTACTAGATCATATGGTAATTCTATTTTTAATTTTTTAAGGAACCTCCTCACTCTTTTTCACAGTGGCTGCACAAATTTGCATTCCCATCAACTGTGCTTAAGGGTTCATATTTTCCACTATGTTGTGTCTTATTATTTTAGCCATTATGATAGGTGTGAGGTAACATTGTGTTTTGATTTGCATTTCTCTGATGATCAATGATGTTGAGCATCTTTTCTCGTGTCTATTGGCCCTTTCTAGGCCTGCTTTAGAGAAATGTCTGTTTATGTCTTCTGTCCATTTTTAGTTAGGTTATTTGTTTTTTGATGTTGAGTTGTATAAGTTCTTTATATATTTTGGATATTAGCCCCTTTCTTGATACATCATTTGGATATATCCTCTCCCATTCAGTTGGTTGTGTTTTCGTTTTATTGAGTTTCCTTCTCTCTGCAGAGGCTTTTTAATTTTGATGTAGTCCCAGTAGTTATTTTTGCTTTGTTTCCCTTGCTTCATGAGACATGTCTAGAAAAATGTTGCTACAGCTGATGTCAAAGTAATTACTGCCTGTGCTTTCTTCTAGGATTTTTATGGCCCTTGGTTCATTTTGAGTTTACTTTTGTATATGCTGTAATAAAGTGGTCCAGTTTCATTCTTTTGCATGTAGCTGTCCAGTTTTCCCAGCATCATTTGTTGAAGAGACTGACTTTTCCCCATTGCATATTTTTACCCCCTTTGTCAAAGATTAATTGATCATATCATCATGGATGTATTTCTGGGCTCTCTGTTCTATTCCGTTTATCGATGTGTCTGTTTTTCTGCCAGTATCCTCCTGTTTTCATTACTACAACTTTGTAGTGTATCTTGAAATCTGGGGTTGTAATACCTCTAGTTCTTTTCTTTTCTTTTTTTTTTTCAAGATTGCTTTGGCTATTTGGAATCTTTTATGGTTCCATACAAATGTTAGGATTATTCCAGTTCTGTGAAAAATGTTGTTATTTAGATAGAGATTTCATTAAATCTGTAGATTGCTTTGGGTAGTATTGACATTTTGCAATATTTGTTCTTCCATTTATGAGTATAAAATATCTTTCCATTTGTGTATCTTCAGTTTCATTCATCAGTGTTTTATTGTTTTCAGTGTGCAGTTCTTTTACCTCTTTGGTTAAGTTTATTCCTAGGTACTTTATTATTTTGATGCAATTTTAAGTGGGACCATAAATTTCCTTAATTTCTCTAGTAGTAGTTTTTGGTAGAGTCTTGAGGGTTTTCTACATATACTATCATGTCATCAGCAAATAGTGAAAGTTTTACTTCTTTCTTACCAATTTGGGTGCCTTTTATTTCCTTTTCTTGTCTGATTGCTGTGGCTAGTGCTTCTATTACTATATTGAATAAAAGTGGTGAGAGTGGATATCCTTGTCTCATTCCTGATCTTAGAGAAAAGTTCTTAGTTTTTCACCTTTGAGTATCATATTAGCTGTGGGTTTTTCATCTATAGCCTTTATTATGTTGAGGCATGTTACCTCTAAACCTTTGTTGTTATCATGAATGGATGTTGTACTTTGTCAAATGCTTTTTCTGCATTTATTGAAATAATTATATGGGGGCACCTGGGTGACTCAGTTGGTTAAGCATATATTCTTGATCTCAGCTCAGGTCTGGATCTCAGGGTCATGAGTTCAGGGTGCACATTGCGCTCTGCACTGGGCATAAAGCCTACTTAAAAAAAAAAGAAGGAGAAGAAAGAGAAAGGAAGGAAGGAAGGAAGGAAGGAAGGAAGGAAAGAAAGAAAAGAAAAAAGAAGAGAAAAGAAAAGAAAAGAAAAGAAAAGAAAAAGTCATATGGTTTCTACCCTCTCTCTTGTTGATGTGATAGATCATGATTGGCTTACCAATACTGAAACACCCTTGCATCCTGGGAATAAATCCCACTTGATCTTGGTGAGTTATTTTTTTAATGTATTGTTGGATTCAGTTTGCTAATATTTTGTTGAGGATTTTTTTCATCCATTTCATCAAAGATGTTGGCCTGTGGTTCTCTTTTTTGTGGCAACTTTATCTGGTTTGGGCATCAGGGTAATGCTGGCTTCATAGAATAAATTTGGAAGCTTTCTTATTCCATTTTTTGGAATGATTTAAGAAGAATAGATATTAACTCTTCTTTAAATGTTTGGTAGAAGTCACCTGTGAAACCATCAGGTCCTGAATTTTTGTTTGTTAGGAGTTCTGTGATTACTGATTCAATTCATTGCTGGTTATTTGTCTAATTGTCTATCTCTTCCTGATTCAATTTGGGGGAGGGGTTATATGTTTCTTGAAATTTGTTTATTTCTTCTAGGCTGTTTAGTTTGTTGGCATATAATTTTTCATAATATTTTCTTACAATTCTTTGTCTTTTTGTGGTGTCATTATTTCTTCTCTTCCATTTCTGATTTTGTTTGAGTCCTCTCCTATTTGTTTGTTTGTTTATAAGTAAGGCTAAAGGTTTATCAGTGTTGTTGATCTTTTCAAAGAACCAGCTCCAGGGTTTATTGACCTGTTCTATTGATTTTTACTTTTTAAAAAAAGTTAAAAAGTACTTTTATTGCTTTTTACTATTTAAAAAAACTTTAAAGTTTATTTATGTTAAGAGAAACAGAGACAGCACAAGTGGGGAAAGAGGCAGAGAGAGAGAATCCCAAGCAAGCTGTACACTGTCAGTGAAGAGCCCAACTTGGTGCTTGAACTCACAAACCATGAGAGCACGACCTGAACCAAAACCAAGAGTAGGACTCTTAACTGACTGAGCCACTCAGGTGCCCTTATTGGTTTTTGGGTTCTAATTTGTTTATTTCTGCTTTATTCCTTATTATTTCCTTCCTTCTCCTGGTTAGGGATTTTGTTTGTTCTTTTTTCTAGCACCTTTAGGTGTGAGGTTAGAGTGTTTGAGATGTTTCTTGCTTCCTAGAATAGGCCTGTATTGCTATAAATACAGCCTTAGAACTGCTTTGGCTGTATACTAAAGATTTTGGACCATTGTGTTTTCATTTTCATTTCCCTCCATGTATTTTTTTAAATTTTCTTTTGATTTCTTGGTTTATCAATTCATTGTTTAGTAGCATGTTATTTATCCTTCATGCATTTGTACTCTGTCCAGATTTTTTCCCTTGGACAATTTCTGGTGTCATTGTGTTGTGGTCAGAAAAGATGCATGCTAAGACTTTGATCTTTTTGAATTTGTTGAGACTTGTTTTGTGGCTTAACATGTGTTCTATTCTGGAGAATTTTGCATGTACACTTGAAAAAAGTATGTATTCTGCTGTTTTAGGATGGAATGTTCTGAATATACCTATTAGATACATCTGGTTCAATGTGTCCTTCAAAGGCACTGTTTCCTGGTTGATTTCCTGTTTGTATGATCTGTCTATTGATGTTAGTGCGATGTTAAAGTCTCCTACTATTATTGTGTTACTATCTATTTCTTCCTTTATGTTTCTTATTAGCTGCTTTATGTATTTGGGTGCTTTCATATTTGGTACATAAATATTTACAATTGTATCATCTTGTTGGATTGTCTCCATTATGATTATATGTTACAGTCTTTATTTTAAAGTCTCCTCTGACTGATATAAGTATTGCTACCCCAGCTGTTTTCACTTCCATTTGTATGATAAATGTTTTTCCATCCCTTCACTTTCAATCTCCATGTGTCTTCAGGTCTTAAAAGAGCCTCATGTAGACAGTATATAGAAGAGTTTTACTTACTTATTTTATTACCCTACACCTTTTGATTGGAGCATTTAGTCCATTTACATTCAAAGTAATTTTAAGTATGCACCTATGCCATTTTGTTACTTTTTTTATGGTTGTTCTTATAGTTCTTCTCTGATTCTTTCTTCTCTTGCTCTGTTCTCTCATGGTTTTCTGGTTTTCTTTAGTGATATACTTGGGTTTCTTTTTTTAAAAAAATGTTTGCATATTTATTACCAGTTTTTTGATTTATGGTTACAATTAGGTTTGTATGTAACATCTTGTGCATATAACAGTCCATATTAAGTTGATGGTAATTTAACTTTGAATTCATTCTAAAAGCACCTAAATTTTTATTCTACTCCTTCCCTCCTCCCCCTGCCCCACAATGGTTTAGGTATATTGTGTCATACTTTATACCCTTTTCTGGATTATTTACACTGATGTGGGTGTTACATAGTTGTATCCATGTGGCAAGGTAAGTTTAGGGTCCTCACACTCTGCCATCTTCCTCAAGCCATCCTTAAAAAATATCTTTTAAAAAGCCATGGCAGGGGGTGGGGCGCATGGGTGGCTCAGTCAGTTAAGCGTTCGACTTTGGCTCAGGCCATGACCTCACGGTTCATGGGTTTGAGCCCTGCATCGGGCTCTGTGCTGACAGTTCAGAGCCTGGAGCCTGCTTCAGATTCTGTATCTCCCTCTCTCTCTGACCCTCCCCTGCTCGTGCTGTCTCTCTCTCTCACACACAAATAAATAAAAGCATTTAAAAATAAATAAATAAAAAGCCATAGGGGAAAAAAGAAGAGCTTAGGGAAATGAAGTGAAACAGAAAATTGCCTCAAAACTCTTTATTTTGTCACCTCTTCAACCTTCCCAGACTGCACTGTGAGCTCAGCATTCTCAGATGATGAAGGGTGTGTGTGTGTGTGTGTGTGTGTGTGTGTGTGTGTGAACACTGGTAAATGACAACTGATTGTGACATGTTCATTGTTTTTCCCTGTAGAATGAAGTCCTAATCTATGGGGCTGCTGATACAAAGGCTACAAAGGCCGGTTGAAGAGAGCAATCTGTGAGGACACCTGGAAGCTCTTTGGTCTTTTCAGAGGCTAAAGGAAGTAGAATTCTGCTAAGGAGATTGTCTGCTTTCAAGAAAGGGTTACAAGATCTGGGGTTTGCCGCACGTCTGTTCCACCCTGTGTGCGGTGCTGAGAAGGCTTCCCGGCACCCAGCCGTCGCTGCCTGTCCCTCGGGCGGCGCTGAAGTGTGAGGCTGCTCATGCTGCGAGGCCCAGCCTGGGGCATGGGGTGCACATGCTGCAGCGACACACCGACTCTCCACGCCTGTCCGTAACAGCTGTGAAATCTGCCCCTGGTCTCCTCTTCAGGTAAGAAATTTCATCAGTCAGAATAACCCCTGGCCCTTGAATAGAGCTTTGTATTCATAAAAATGTTTTCACCTATGTGATTTCATCTTATGGATTCATAGAAGCCAAAAGCAGAAGAAATATCAGGTGTTAGGGCCCCCATGGAGCAAAAGGAGAAATTGAATCCAAGAGAGGTGGTCACTTTGCCTAAAATCAAATAGCTACATAGCAGCAGACCTGAAACCAGTATTTAGTTCTGCTGACTCTCAACCCAGGGGCTTTTCCATTACCATCACATGTCAATCTCACTTATTTCCCTGGGTCTCCTCCATCTTTTTCTTCTGTCTGTCTTTTAAAATAAGATCAATTTGTCTTTTTTTTCATTTATGCATTAAAGGTGATCTACTTCTATCAAAACGTAGTAATATCTTACTTTTGTTGATTCTTTTCAAAAACTGCCTGAAAACTGTATTTTGCTAGTAAGCAGTTACATTTTCATTTTTAGGTTTCTTGTCTCTCACTGAAAAATTAAATATAAGTAGAAATGTTATTTAGAGTTGTTTTCCTTGTCATTGCAATGGTTTATATTTGAGTTGTTTCCTATCAGATTTACCACAAGATGGAAATCTTCTAAGCAAGTACTCCCTCACATATATTCTCTCTCAGTGGACAGACACTAATTAAGTTTCTGTCAAAAACCTGACAAGAAAATGTTTCTTAAAGTCATAGTTGATACCAGACATTAACTACATCAGATTTTCTATTCTGTGGTGGGAAAAGAAAAAGAAAAGCATTTGTATCTAACTTCAATTTTGCTAAAAGGGAAAGAATTATACCCAGTTCAAGGTCCAATCCAGTGAGGTTTGAATAAATGGAGATATTATATCTTCAGAATTCAATGCTTGGTATGCTTAACACTCAGAATCATGCTAATAGTTAAAACAGCATTATACAGGGCACCTGGGTGGCTCAGTTGGTTAAGCGTCCAACTTCGACTCAGGTAATGATCTCAATGATTTGTAGATTTGAGCCCCGCATCGGGCTCTGGGCTGACAGCTCGGAGCCTGGAGCCTGTTTTGGATTCTGTTTCTCCCTCTCTCTCTCTGCCCCTCCCCCACTCATTCTCTGTCTCTCTTTGTCTCAAAAATAAATAAACTATTAAAAAAATAGCATTATACAGAATTGGAATGATATCCCTTCGCAAAGGTGTACATTCTCAAAGGATACTGATTCTATATTGATTGCTTTCCCCACTCAACATTTGTAGGTTCCACAGTTACCAGAGGCTGCTTTGGTACCACAGCACTAAAAGGCATATGCTCTGGTTACTAAGAGGAGATTGCTGAAAACTGATGTTTCGGAACCTTCAGAGATAGCCTCTTAATTGATCAAAGATATAGCATTCTCTTCTGTTGCCCATAATCCTACTCCATGCTGCTAATATCATAGTAATTTTCTTTCTGATTTCCTATTTGAAAATACTATGGTAGAAGTTAGAAACCTGAAATATTTCCCAATTCACTCTAAATTTACCCCCGACACCTGTTTTGTTTTTTCCTAAAATGAAGGAGAAAATTACTGTTCCAACCACCAACTACCTTGGGTATGTTCAGTGAAACATTCCTTCTATTTATAAATATGTGTAACTTAATGGACATGAGGAAATTTTTTTAAAAAGTAAAAATAAAATCTTAAGTAAATCTAAAAGATCCCCTTTATCATTAATAATACTGACATCAAAATAACTATGATCATTAAATTATTTTATTACAACTGATATAATTATAGATATTGATTCATAATTATATGCTATTTGGTTGAAGGAAACATCTTTCTAAATAAGATATAGGATATTTCAGAGGTCCTGCTCATCTTCTACAAGACTCTTCTTTTTAAGAACAGAAAGCCAGACATTTCCTACAAAATTCAAGACACAGACTTTAAGGGTCTAGTGCTTCTAAATTTTAACATAGAAATTTGTATTGGCAAAGAGTGTTACATCCAAGACAATGTTTTCATGCTAAAGGTTAAATTACAGAGAGAAAATCTCAACCTCCAAATGTTTCTACTGCTTAAAGAGATTGAGAAGAACTCAGCGCTGCAACATGAGCCAGCCAGACAAGCAAACTTTTCAAAAACTGTATGTATAGACCACACATCTTTCACAAAAGTTAGTGCAAAATGGCGCAGTCACCTAAATTGAAAACTCTAAATGTTTTAGAAGAAAATGCACAGGAGCAAATCTGCTTGACCTTGGGTTTGTCAATGAGTTTTTAGATACAATACCAAAGGCAAAAAAGAAAAAAATGGTAAGTTGAACTTTATTAAAATTAAAACTTCTGCCAAAGGCACTGTAAAAGAATGAAAATAAAAACCGTTGACTGGAAGAAAATATTTGCAAATCACACTTGTATCCAGAATATACAGATAACTCTTAAAGGTCAACAAGAAAGCAAAGAGCCCAATTTAAAAATACACAAAAATAGGAACAGACATGCCATCAAAGATAGTATACAAATGGCAAATAAGCATAAAAATGGATGCTCAACATCATCTATCAGTAGGCAAATACAAATTAAAACAGCAATGAAATCTCACAACATACTTCTTAGAAGATCTAGAATACAGCGACATGCAGAAGACTGAAACTGGACGATTTTCTTACACCATACCCAAAAATAAATTAAAAATGGATGAAAGACCTAAATGTGAGACGGGAAACCATCAGAATCCTACAGGAGAAAACAAGCAGCAACCTTTTTGACATCAGCTGCAAAAACTTCTTATGAGACACGTCTCTGGAAGCAAGGGAAATAAAAGCAAAAATGAACTATTGGGACCTCATCAAGATAAAAAGCTTCTGCACTGTAAAGTAAACAGTCAACAAAACTAAAAGGCAATCGACAGAACGGGAGAAGATATTTGCAAATGACATGTCGGATAAAGGGTTAGTATCCAAAATCTATAAAGAATTTACCAAATCCAACACCCAAAAAACCAACAATCCAGGGAAGAAATAGGCAGAAGACATAAATAGATACTTTTCCAAAGAAAAGACACATGAAAAGATGCTTAACAACACTCAGCATCAGGGAAATACAAGTCAAAGCCACCATGAGATATCACCTCACATCTGTCAGAATGGCTAAAATTAACAGCTCAGGAAACAAAAGATATTGGCGAGGATACAGAGAAGGGGAACCTTTCTGCATTGTTGGTGAGAAAGCAAACTGGTGCAGCCGCTCTGGAAAACAGTATGGAGGTTCCTCAAAAAATTAAAAAAAGATCTACACTGTGACCCAGCAATTGCACTACTCAGTATTTATCCAAAAGATACAAAAAAAAAAAAAAAATTATGGAAAGAGCCCAAATGTCCACTGACTGATAAATGGATAAGAAGATGTGGTGTATTCCAGTATGTGTGTGTGTGTGTGTGTGTGTGTGTGTGTGTGTAAGGAATGCTGCTCAGCAATCAAAAAGAATGAAATCTTGCCATTTGCAACAACATGGATGGAACTAGACTATATTATGTTAATAATAAGCAAAATAAGTAAGTCAGGAAAATAAACATAAAACAGATAACATATGATTTCACTCGTGGAATTTGGGAAACACAAAAGATTAATATAGCAGAAGGGAAGGAAAAGTAAGATAAAAACAGACATGGAGGCAAATCATAAGAAACTCTCAAATATGGTGAACAAACAGGTTTGCTGGAGGGGAGGTGGTGGGGGGATGAGCTAAACAGGTGGTAGGCATTAAGGAGGGCACTTTTTGGGACAAGCACTGGGTGTCATATGTAAGAGATGAATCACTGGGTTCTACTCCCTGAAGCCAGGACTGCACTGTATGTTAACTAACTTGAATTAAAGAAAATATATCTAGAATGTCAAAATTTGACAGTACAAACTGATGACAAGAATGTGTAGCAACAAAAAACCTCATTCATTGCTGGTGGAAATACAAAATGGTAGAGCCACATTGGAAGACTGGAAATTCCTTAGAAAGCTCAACATAATTTTGCCATACAATTTAGCAATTGCACTGCTATTTACCCAACTAGTTTTAAAACATATGTCCATGCAAAAACCTGCACACAAATATTTATAGCAGACTTATTTATAATTACCCCAAACTGGAAACAACCAAGATGTCCTTCCATAAGTGAATGGAAAACAAACTGAAATATATCTACATAATGTATTACTATTTAGTAATAAAAAAGGAGTACTCTATGGAGGCATGAAAAAACATCAATGCCACATAAATACATATTGGCAAGTGAAAAAAGCCAGTCTGGAAAAACTCCATGCTATATGATTCCAATTAGAGGAAATTTTGGAAACAGCAAAATTATAGACATAAAAAAGCAATTACTGGTTGCCATATGTTTGAAAGGAGGAGGAAACCTGAATAGGTGAAACTTGAATAGGTTTTCTTAGGGTGGTTAAACTCTTGTGTATGATACTGTAATGGTGGAAAGCGACCATATGCATTTGTCAAAGCCCACAGACTTCTACAGCACAAAGAGTGAACCTTAATGTATGCAGATGATAAAAAGTCATTTAGGAAGGAGGTCAGGAATATCAGGATGGAATTCACAATGTCACAGAAGAGTCTAACTGTATTATAAGTGCATGAAACAACCTCAGCAAAGGGAGTGGGGGAAAATGGTTCTGAACTGGAAATAACTATTGTCTTTAAGACTCAGCAAAACATTAGCATATATTCTACATGATAAGGTTTTCCACAGGGTCGTATAGGTTAATTCTGAAACCACTATGTATAGATACTAGAATTGAGGTATTAAGTAAATAGGGGCACAAGAATGGCACAGTTGAGCATCCCACTCTTGATTTTGGCTCAGGCCATGATCTCATGGTTTGTGAGATGGAGCCCCCAGACGGGCTCTGCACTGACTGTGGAGAGCCTTTTAAGATTCTCTCTCCCTCCTCTTGCTCTGCCCCTCCCCCTTTTGCACTCTCTAGATCTCTCACTCAAAAGTAAAAAAATAAACATTAAAAAAAGAGATTAACTAAACAGATGGTGAATGGTGGGAACACATTTTCTTACTGGTGGTATGGAGGCCTTAAATAAGCAAATAATGGAGACTAGAAGGATCCATGTCATAATGAATCAGAGATATCATATTGGAGATAACAGGATGAACTCATGTTTAGTTTAATATAAGCACAAATGACTCCACATAGAGCATAACCTGTATACACAGATTTGTACATACACACGTATAGTACCTCCTTGCTCTGTCAGCTAAGAAAACCTAGAAGCAATGAGACTCCAGTAGCAACAAGCAGTCCTTGGTTTCTGATAACATTTGCAAATGAAAATAACCAAGATTCCTTGGGAAAATGGCTGATTTTATGACTGGGATAGGAAATATACAAGAAGTTCCTGGTGTATCTTGTAGCGTGTAAAAGTGGGACAATGATAAAA